ATAACTACAAGGATGAAAACCACATAGAGAGCCTTGGTTTTATGTGACTTAAAGTTGGCAAAAGTGTGGAAAATGTCTAAATTTAATTATCTTTGCTCATGCCTGGGCACGAAGCTCACCCAGTGGTGTTTGGATTGGCAATAAAATAATGACCTGATTCATAAGTCATTTTATATTTTCCCATAAAATTTGTTTTTCTGGCCTTTTAATGCAATTATACATTGTATTGTTATAAATGAGATTTTCACATAGCTATTCTGTTCATGATCACAAACAAGACCCATTTTTTTGGAAGCACTATAGCTCTTTGATTTTTTTTTAAACGTCAATTTGAAAAAGCTTTACTGAGACAGAGTTGACAACTAACCATGAAAAAAAAATTTTTTTTGTACTGAGGCTTGAATCCAGGGGCACTTTACCACTGAGCTATGCCTTCAGTCCTTTTTATTTTGAAACAGGGTCTTGCTGAGTTGCTTGGGACCTTGCTAAGTTGTTGAGGCTGGCCTTGAACTTCCAATCCTTTTGCCTCAGCCTCTGGAGTTCCTGTAATTACAGATATGCACCACCATGCTAGGCTGAGTGCATGAATTTTATATATCATGCTCAAATCTTGTAACAGGGTCATATATGATAAATTATTATTCGGTAGGGTATGGTAGTGCACGTCTGTAATTCCAGTGACTGAGGAGGCTGAGGCAGGAGGATTGCAAGTTCATGACCAGCCTCAGCGAGGCCTTAAGCAACTTAGCAAGCACTCTCTCAAAATAAAAAGGGCTGAGGATGTAGTTCAGTGGTAAAGCATTCCTGAGTTCAATCCCCAGTACCCATGATGCTGGAATGTGATGATCATTATTATCCAAAGTACATATATGAAGACACGAATTGGTGTGAATATACAGTGTATATAACCAGAGATATGAAAAATTGTGCTCTGTGTGTGTAATAAGAATTGTAATGCATTCTGCTGTCATATATAAATTAAAAATAAATGAATAAAATGAAAAGAAAAACAAAGATTTCAGAAAACAGAAACATTTTAATTTCATCATATAAACTACTACCACTTTATTGTAATTTTCTCCAGCTCTTAAACACATGGTATAATAAAAAGAGCCAGTATCAAACTTCTAAATTCATAAATATGTAAATATAAATGTAATATGAATTGTCAAAAATTGCAAAATATTTCTCAGCCTCCTCATGCGACTATAATGAATACTTTGCTAGTTTGTGAAGACCTTTGAAATTACAAACTGGAAGAGGAAGAAAAGGAAGAAAAATGATACCCTACCACAGCCCCAGCCCCAGCCCCCTATAGCAGTATTCTTTTTTTTTTTCAGTCGAGCACTTGCCTTGCAGGTATGAGGCCCTGGGTTTGATCCTCAGCACCGCATAAAAATAAATAAATAAATAGATAGATAGATAGATAAATAAATAAATAATTTGTGTTCATCTACAACTAAATATGTATATACATATATGTGTGTGTGTGTGTGTATATATATATATATAAAATAAAAGTATTGTGTCCAACTACAAAAAAAAAAGAAAGAAAAATGATACCCTACACTATAAGAAAAACAGACACAATTATTCAAGGATCAAGTGTATTCCTAACAAAATGGATCTAAGTTAATGGACTTACTTCTTTTCTTATCAAACCAAGCACGTCTGTTCTTTCCATTCTGCCTGCACCCAAAGCAGTGTCCAACTCTGAAAGCAAATGGCCCAGTCCCCAAACATCACCCAGCATTAGGCACAGTTAGGTTTTATTTTGTGACAAGCAGGTAGAGAAGCATTTTCATGGGGCATAACGTGTGTTAATACTGAGACAAACCTTCAGAGTTACAGACTACCAGTTTCCAAGTGAAAGGCACCCATGTGGGACATTATCCTCCTCCTTCTCCTACACCCCCTCCTCTTCTTCTTATAATAGCTTTAGAGATATAATTCACAGAACATAAAATCCACCCCTTTAAATTATCATAAGTTCTATAATTATGATCACTAAATTCTAAATCCTTCAAAGATGCTAATTTACCTATTCACAATTAGCAGAGTCACTCCCTATATCCCCACCCCCATACCCTAAAAACCACTGGTCTCTTCTATCAATCAAATTGCCTATTCTGGGTTTTTCATATGAACAGAATCATAATGTTTATGACATTTTGTGTCTGGAATCTTTCATTTAGAATAATGTTTTCAATTTATCCAAAATATTTCAATTTCAATAATGTCTCCAACTTATCCATCACGATCCATACCAGTATTTCATTCCTTTTTATGGTCACATAATATTCCCCCACATTTTGTTTATTCATTCATCAGTTACTGGCCATTTGGGTACTGTTCACTTTTTTGCTATCATGAATGATATTGCTCTGAACATTCATGCACAAATTTTTTATGTTGTTGTTTTGTACTGGGGATTGAACTCAGGGGCACTCAACCACTGAGCCACATCCCCAGCCCTTTTTTGTATTTTATTTAGAAACAGGGTCTCACTGAGTTGCTTAGGACCTTGCTAAGTTGCTGAGGATGACATTGAACTTGTGACCCTCCTGCCTCAGCCTCCTGAGCCACTGGGTTTACAGGTGTGTACATCACACTTGGCCATGCAGAAGTTTTGTTTTTAATATATTTTTTAGTTGTCAATGGGTGTGTTATTTTATTTATTTACATGTGTTGCTGAGGATCCAACCCAGGGCCTCACACATGCCAGCCAGTGCTCTACCACTGAGCCACAACCCCAGCTCCATGCACAAGTTTTTTGTGGACATGTTTTCAGTTTTCTTGGCTGTAGATACTGCAGTAGTAACTATTTGTTTTGATAAAGGGTTGAACTGCTTTATAAAGTAGTTGTACCATTATGTGACCCCACCAGCAATATGTGAGGGTTCCAGTTTCCACATTCTTGTCAACAGTAGTTATTTTCTTTTCAGTTAGCCTGGTGGGAGTGAAGTCTATCTGATAGTGGCTTTGATTTGCAAAATTCTTATCCCTAATAACTGATGTGCTTACTGGCTGTGTGTGCATTTCTTTGGAGACATAGTTATTCAACCTTGTACATTTCCTTTTATAACAGACTTTAAGGAACAGTTTCAGATTGACAGGAACACTGAGGGGATAGTTCAGAGCTCCCGTATACCCAGACCCAGCTCACCCTATTATTAACATTAATTATGCACATTGACATTCCATTCCATCTTTGTGCGCTGCGTTTGCTGTAATTATCCTGCCAATATTGATACATCATTATTATTAAAGTCCATAGTTCATTCCTTAGTTTCACCTGCACCTGTACCAGCCCCAGCACCCCAGCCAGGGCACCACAGGACATTTTTGATGTCATGTCTCTTGGTTTATCTTGTCTAGGGCAGTTCTCAGACCTTCCTTGTTTCTGATGATGATAAATTTCGTTGGATGCCTATCTTAATTTATCAGTATTTTTCTTATGATTAGGTGGGGATAATAGGCTTTAGGAATTACGGGTTTATATATGTATGTATATATTTAGTTTAGTTGGACACAATACCTTTATTTATGTTTATGCAGTGCTGAGGATTGAACCCAGTGCCTCACACATGTAAGGCAAGTGCTCCACCACTAAGCTACAACCCCACCCCAGAAGTGAATTTTCTAATGTTTTCTCTCAAAAATGTTGACATTTTAAAGAATATGTCAATAATCCAAATGCAGTTAGCTTGCTGTTTAGAAAAGACTTGGAGTAAAAAGGTCTTTGAACTTAACCTTAGGAACTGGAATTCCAGGCCTAGGAATAAACTAGTGCAGGAGGACAAAAAACAAAAAAAAATTCCTTTCTCTGGCTGAAGCATCAAGACGGCTGGTGGTGTTTGTGTCCACTTCTCTTGACTGGAAGATTGTCCTCTGTGAATATCCCTGGATCATAGATGGTGATATTCCCACCATATATGAGGGTGAGAGGAAGTAGGAAACAGGCAGACATTTTCCTTCTGACCATCTCCTTATTGTTTCTGAAGTACTCAGTCATGAGAAGAATTTCTGAGGAGAAAGGCCATTTTGGAGGAAAGGTTACAAGTTGACTTATAAAAAATTGGACTGCTTCACAGAAATCAAAGGAAGCTCTGCAGGTTGGAAGGAAGGCTCTTAGTTCGGAGGAAGACTGACATTATACATTTGTAGTTGGGGGCATTTTATGGAGATTTGCTGTCTCATTCTACGGGGAATCACTCCTGATAATGCTATGAGAACATGTTAACTACTGGAAAAAAACAGCTTTACTGAAATAGGATTCACATATCATTTCATTGTAAGTTAAAGCACACAGCTAACATGATATTACGCAGGAATAGGGTGTTCTACCTCAGATGGATACCTGTGATTTCCCTTTTAAATTTAAGTGCAGGGCCTCCTCCTGGCAAGAGGTAGGGTTGAAATGTTCCACGGAAGAAACCAAGTTATTTATTTATTAAATAATACTGTAGGGCCTCAAATAATTGTCTTTCAAAATGTCTAATGTCCATAGTAATTTTTTAAAATATTTATTGTTTTAGTTGTACACAATACCTTTGTTTATTTATTTTTATGTGGTGCTGAGGATCAAACCCAGGGCCTCGCACCTGGTAGGCAAGCATTCTACCGCTGAGCCATATCCCCAGCCCCTCCATAGTAACTTTATTTTTGCAATATTCTTGTTGTAAGGAAGGCAAAGATCTTTGTTTCCCCAAAAGCTTACAAGAGATGAAACCTCCATGGCCTTTTGTGGTGGTGACAAAGTTATTTTTGTGTTACTGATACATGAAGAAGTGAGGCTGACAAGCTCTAGAGTACAGCCAACTGTAGAGTGAAAATTTTACAGTGTGCTTCCTTTTTTGACTTTTAGGTATGACACGACGTCACCTTCATGGTTACTTTTTTTTTTTTGTCATTGGTGATTATTATTAGGGTTTAAACGGGTGATAATTAATATTGCCTTTTCCTTAATCCATGTTTAAAAACAAATGAGATATAAGATGCAGGTGTCAGACAGAAAAAAATTAGCTTTATTACTGATAAAATCTGTTGAAAAGGACCAACTTTAGATCCTAGGGCAAGGTGTGCACCCTGAATCATGATTAGGTTCTTACAAGTGCAGAATAAGAGTAGCTTAAATAAGGGAGAGACTATTTCTCACCTACAAGTCTCCAAAGGGGTCTGATCATAACCGGTGGCATTTTCTACATTACCAGACATCCATGCTCCTCTCTCGTGTTGATTTGCTATTTGTGACCCTTTCCTGGGGTCATTTTGGAGTTCAGGATGGCTGCCCTGGCTCCAGCCTTCATGTATACATTCCAGCTTACAGGATGAAAGAGGGGGAAGGACAGGATATCTCCATTTAAGGACACACCATTTTTGCTTCTATCCTGTAAGCTTTAACACAATCACCTAGCCACAGCTAACTAGGAAGACAAGTACTCTGGTTAGTCATGTAACTAGGTAAAAATGAGGATTCTATTATAAAAGTAGGGCGGGGAGGGGGGAGGATATTGGTGGACAACTTGCAGTCTCTGCCACATTCCTGAATTTAACTTACTACAGCCAGGCAGACAACCACTGCCCTCCTGGCAAGCTGCTGGGCACCGAGCAGACCTGCTTAGAGTGGAAGCTGCTTACGGAGGGGAAAGTAGAAGTGAGTTGAGCCCCATGTGCCCACTGCCCTTGGACTCCTGCCCCTGGAGGGAGGCATTGGGTGGCAACTGCCTTCCTAATTGCTGTCCGGCTTTTCCAAGGGACAGTACAGTGAACTGTCGTAGGGCAGGAAGGCGAGGCATGACTTGGCGCCACAGTGACACGGTTTTCTCAGTTTCTCATCATGTGGCCTTTCCTTGGCTTCCCTGTCCATTAGATTCAGAAATCTTCCCGAATAATCATAGGAGAGTTCTTCTCCTGGCCAAATGTCTTTGGCTGCAAAAAGTGCCAACTTGGGTACCATGGAGTCTATTCGGACAGGAATCATCAACAGGTTGGGCTCACAAGAATGATTCAGGAACCTTCCTGCATTCCCCACATAGGTGGGGTCAACAAAGGTCTCCATCACCTGCCCGTCACAAACATGTTCCCTGATGGCTATGATGTAATTTGAGTCCTGTGCTGTCTGTAAGTGAACTCTCCTCTGTACTTCAGAGAATCCCAGAACCTCCCCGGCATATTCACAGACGAACCTTCCCTTTGGTATGAATTCCAGGGTGCGAAGTCCCCAGCCCTTCTTCTCCGTCTTGAACACCTGGAGGTGGAACTGCAGACCCCTCTGCACCACTCGGTTTCTGCAGTGCTCACCACACTGGCACAGAATGTTACATTCGAAGACAGGCCGGGCATACGTGGCTTCCGATGATCCCATGTCTCTAAGGCACCGACTGCCATCGTAGTTCTCTTCGTGGCGGAGACAACAGCAAGTGCCAGGGACGCAGGAGGTGGTGACACATGTGCACCCAGGAAAGGTTATTTCAGTGGGATCGATGTCTGCTCCAGGTCCCACGACATGATCAGGAGTATACTGCAAAAAAACACTGCAAGTCGATCTGGCAGGTCATGTGCACACTCACACATACACATGTCACATCAGGTAGTGAAAAGCTACCTGACATGTCATATACCTATGACATCATATAGCTTTTGGCTTGGATACTTCCTATTTCTAGCCTACATAAAATTGAGGGCAGAACAAAACAAAGCTAACAAAACACAATACACCAAAATACTGCCCCAAAAGCTCTCTCTCCAATTTAAAAGATATCGAGTTTTAGATTTAAATGTGTGTGGTTTTATTTTAGGATTAAGGATAACAACAAGAAAAATGTGCTTTCTCTGAATTTAATGTCTACATACATGCACTTCAGTGTTTTAGCTTAGATTTTGCTGTTACCTTTATCAGACAGTGCATGTACATATTTTTATTGCCATTTACTTCAGATCCTTTTCAGGGGGATAAATGAGAAGTCAATTGCAGACAAAATTTCAAAAAATGGTATTTTTCACATAGATAATAGATAAATTCATTATAAATGGAATATACATGTAAATTCTGTTCTTATTAAATGAGAAAGGGATAAAGGGATAATATGAAAATATTTAATACTTCTTGGTCTTTAAAAAGTACTTGTACTTTCAAAACATGTTTATAAAATGTTATGGAGAAAGAAGGAAACCCTAAAGCTAGAATCTGTGTGAGTGCTGGTCTCTGGTTACTTCCTCACCGTCACCATGAAGCCTGTTTTCGAACCCTGAAGACTGGAGTACCCCTCAGGAGCCCAGCACATTTATTTACTTGTAGAATAATTCTTATATGGAATTTAACTCATTTATTTATACTGCTTCTTCCTAAAAGGACTTAATGAGATTCACAAAGGTAAGATAAATGAACAACAATTGAGAAGATGAGGTATGCTATGGGCTTGATAAATGTACCCGAGACGCCCGTGTGTTCAATGCTTGGTCCCAGCCTGCTCTGCTATTGGGAGGTGATGGGACCTCTAAGAAGTGGGGCCTACTGGGAGGTCATAGGGGTACGTGTGGGAGTTATTGGGACTCCAGTCTCTTCTTGTCCCTCTTTTGTCACTGCCATGAAGTGAGTACCCTCCTCTATGATGTGCTCCCACCATGATGTTCTGCCTTGTTACAGGCCAAAAAGCAATGGAGCCACTGAAGCACACACCAAAACCTCCAAAACTGTGAGCCAAAATTAACCTTTCTTTTTAAAAAGTTTATTATCTCAGGTATTTTTTAACAGTAGCAGAAAGCTAATACAAAGTGAGAGGGGAAATAAAACCAAGCCAATCCATTGATCTTAGACATAACAATGTGTGTAATAGAAGCAGGCTCTCAGCTCCACCTGAGTGCAGCAATTTCCAAGATGGACATTTGATCAGACATAAGGCTTGTTCTCTGTGTAAGGAATAATCTCACTGTTCAGATACAGCACTGACCTCCCAGTATTGGCACCAGAGAAAACTTTCACCCATGTTCTTCCAAACCATTCTTTTCCAGGAAGTGGTTTCCAGGGATGATTTTTCTTCTGACCCTTAATAAAGTCCACTGGCATGCTGTCCCATGTAGCTGAGTAAGGGCAGTTCCGAAAGGCACCGGCAGCACGGCCTTTCCTTTGAGGACAGACTTTGGAGCTCCTAGAGGAATGTTCCTGCTGCACATCCTTCATTTATGGAGCCAGCTCTCCATTGACACTATGTCTCCCAGCCAGGATTTTGAAAGGCACTGAACAGCATGTAGCTACACCCTGTGGAGGCCTCAGCGGAGCTATACAGTTAAGTGCAGAACCCTATGCTTAAGAAAAAATGCTGAGCTGGGGGTGGGGGAGGATTGACATCTCTGGTGAGAGATGAGGAGGTGATGCGTGGGAGAACCTGTGGGGGCAGGCCAACACTCTGCTTAAAAAGTGATTTGGGGGTGCAGAGTGAAAGACCTGTTGGTGTTTCTTACAGTTTTAGCTCAGCAGGGATGTTCCAAAGGGATGAACGAAGGCTTGGGAAAAGATGCCTCTATCAGTCAAATTCAATGAGTGCCTTCTCATGCAGAAGTTACCTCTGGCTTTTTAAAGTTCAATGTTGAAATGTAAAAGGTTACCCAGGCATCTCCCCCCCACCCCCCTACATCTTTGCATTACTAAGGATTAAACCTAGGGAGCTTTGACACTGACCTATTTCCCTAGCCTTTTATTTATTTATTAATTTTGAGTCAAGGTCTTGCTAAGTTGTTGAGGCTGGCTTTGAACTTGGCAATCCTCCTGCCTCAGCTTCCTGAGTCACTGGGATTAGAGGTACACATCACATTTGACAAGAGGTACTTGTGAAATGAAGATTTCACCATCTCTTTGTAAAGTTTTCACAAGGAATTATTTTAAATTGATTTGTTCTTCAAGGTGTACACATTTTTAATGTACTACATAAATCACTAAAATATTTTTGACATAGATAATGCCTTTTAAAATACAGTTTGACTTACTGCAGTGTTCTAACTAGAAGACCATATTATTTCTTGCTGAAAAAAAATAGTTTCATTTGCTTATTTTTACTTACAAATTAAAAAAAAAATAAGAATCTAAAAAATTTTTGAAAATCTTAGATTAAAATCTTAATTTAAAAGACTCTAAAATGTGGTGGCTGAGGTTGTGGCTTAGTGGTAGAGTGCTTGCCTAGCACATGTGAGGTACTGGGTTAGATCCTCAGTACCATATAAAAATAAATAAAATAAAGGCATTGTGTCCATCTACAACTAAAATGTTATATTTTTAAGGGATGGGGGTGTATAGCTCAGTGGTAGAGTACCTGTAGCCTGTGAGGCCCTGTTAAACTTGATGCATAATCTAACATGCTTTAGGGGCTTAGGTTACAAATGACAGTTAATGCTAAATGAGTCACAGATACCTTCAGGAGGATAAGACAGACTTCTGGGTAAATTTCCTGTTTAAAAAGAATAAATTTTTTTGATGGATGTAGTCATTGATCCTGCTATCTATGGTCGTTGAAAATCATTTTTATCTTTATTCATCTCCATTTTCTCCTTCATCGTGTGGGGAGAGCACAGCTTGGGCCTGGTAGCCATACAGACATGTTCCCACCCACCCAGCTCCATTCTTTTGATAACACAGCCCCAACTCTTCCCAGCAGACCCCTCACTGCTCTGGCCTCCGTGGTTTGGATGAGGGTCCTTGTTGGACAGGGATCTAGACCTGGTTAAAGGGAACACTGCTTGGTTGATGATGGACGCGTGACCTAAGCTGGATCCATGCGGTGCAGCCCTGGGACTTGTTCCTGAACAGTAGAGGAGTGGCATTCTCTTTCCATTGGAGTTGCTAAACCGCAGATGTCTGCCTGGCATCCCCCAGTTTGCCACATAGACAGACATGTGAATGGACAGCCAGCTCTAGCAAGGGGAAGCAGGAGGAAGAGGGAATGTGGTGGAAGGAGCATTTGATGGCACTGTCAGAGTCTTGGATCCAGGCATGCCTATCCACTTTTGGACTTTTCTGTTATGTGAGGCAATTTGTTCCCTCTTTTGCTTGAGGCAGTTTGTGTTGTTTCTTGCAAACAAATGCGTCCTGACTGATGCAGTAGGGGGAAAGCTGAGGATGGTCTAGGCAATGGCTGTAGTCAAAGATGGTGTCCAGATGGAGGGTGAGACTAGACCAGAGTGTGCAGGAGGCCACACAGAAAACTAGTGACTTCCAGTTGTGATAGCACATGCCTGTAATCCCGGCAGCTCAGGAGGCTGAGGCAGGAGGATAGCAAATTCAAGGCCAACCTCAGCAACTTAGTGAGGCCCTGTCTAAAAATAAAAAATAAAAGGGGCTGGGTGTGGGGAGCCACTCTGAATGATTCGCGCCTTCCATCCTGGAGCAGAAAGGCTTTGACTGGTCACTACATTTCATAGTGACCTGGACATTGCCCCGGTCCAGGAAGTTTGAGGGTGTGTCTTCAGATGTAGGCATGTCACCCATGGAGTTGAGCTACATTCACTATTCCTTTGTAATACTACCCTTTGCCCTGTTGGGATAGAACGTTCCATGGAAACGCCCTTTGTGTGTCTCCTTCTCTTGCTCTGCCTTTGGGTGTGGCCTTCCTAGATGTCATTCAACCTGCTGACAGCAGACATCATGAAGCTAGACTCAACCCCCTGAAACCTGACCCCTTGCCTCATTTGAATGGCTTCTCTTCAAAAAAAAAAGGGTTCAGCACATGCTCTGTATCTCTCTCTCTCTTTCTGCAGACCCTTCAGGTCAGAGAAGCCATCACAGGATCCCAAAGAAAAAGGTATCTCTCTCTTATAGGGTTATTTTGTGCAGCCCAGTTCACCTGGAGTGACCCTGAGTGTTTTTGTTGCATGGAATGCAACAGCTGGAGATGCAGCTTGCGATAAAGCACCTTTAGGTTCAATCCCCAGTTCCAAAAGAAAAAAGAAATAAAAAGAAAACCCATGACAGTGGTTGGGAATACTGTTCAAGTGGTGGAAAGCTTCTAGTGCAGAACATGGCCTGTCCTAAAGGAGACGTATATAGAACCAGGCTCATCAGCATGGTGAGTAGGCAGATGACTTGCTAAGCTTTGGATGGATGAGCAATGATAAGATGGGATGATACTCATTCTTGGGGTGGTTATCATGAACTGGAAATAAAACTCTGTATTCAGTGCCAAGCACTTCTTTTAAAATTTTAGCTTCTCCTAATTCTTCTTGATACTATATTTAGATGTAATATTTATAACATTTCTGGTAAATTACTTAACCCCTCTAAACACTTTGATCTGTTTCATAGGTTGCTGTAAAGCAAAATAAAGTGAAAGATTCCATGTAAAAAGTTTACTCTAGTGGCTGTCACATCAGTGTTCAATAAAAAACACACAGGCAGTTTAGTAGGATGGTAAAGGAGAAAGTTCTGGAGTTATACTCTCCAACTTCAGACATATTCAAGCCAAAACTGTGTCTGGGAATTAGTTTTCTATTGCTTATACATTAGGAGTGTTGAAAAGCCAAGAGCTGACCCAGCCCAGACTTCTTTCATTCATCAACAAATACTGCTTTAATACCTCTCATATACATGTACTGGGATGTGGGACCACCCAGAAAAATATAAATGAGAACATGAAGAATGCGACTTTTATCATTTTTGCATTGTCACAATTTTTTTTTTCTTTTTATGTATCAGAGAACTGAACTGCTCAGGAAAGAGTAGGGAACATGCAAAATGGTCAGTACAAAATGATGCCCTAGAAACCAGATCCTTGAAGCACTGGGTGGAGATTTCAAGTTTTTTTTTTTTTTTTTAAGAAAATTGAAGAGAATTTAAAAAAAAAATAAAACAATAATTACCCAAGAAGCCAAAATGGAAACAGGATACAGCAAGTTGAAGAGCAAATATACTTTGGCTACTCTTGTCCACATTATTTCTTCCTTCTCTGAAGTAGATCAGCATTTATTAACAGCATGAACTTCAGGGTTTGAGTGTCACAGACTGTAGGGCCCTCTAGTTGTGCTTAGTATGAAAGTCTTGTCTTTTAAACAAATAGGACAGGCATGGTCATCAGGTTTGGGATATGGCCTGGTGATGGAGGGGGTACCTATCCAGAGTCCTGGGCACAGAGCAGGAGCTGCAGAGCTATTTCATGATTGTTTGATTGCAGCTCTTGATAAAACCTTTAACTGGAAGTTTGGCTTTTTGAGTCACATTCTGTATCAAAGCCCTAGAAACTGAAATATGACACTGCATGATATCCTGGGCTTAAAACCTGTGCTTCCATTCTGAATCTCAAAAAGTGTTGTGCAAATCTTCTTTCCTTTTTTGGTTGTGTTGAAACCCCAGCTACAAGAATCTTTGTACTTGGCCTCTAGCCTCATAAGTTTGTTTTTGCTCCAAGCAGTTATTAGGAGACTGTGTGCCAGATAATTCTCATCAAGGTCCAGTTGAGATCTTAAAAATAATGTTTGAAGCTGGTTTCAGAGACCTAAAAAATGATTACATCTGACTCTTAGCTTAAGAAAATCAATTAATTTATTTTCTACTTGGCTTTCAACACCAATGACATTATGATGTGCTTGTTTCCAATGTGAATATTTGAATGTTCTTTTTGCCTTTTTGCACAATACCCAACAGCAAACCAGACACAAAGTTATTTTTACCTTGCATTTTTCATGCCTTAATTCTTTTGTGTGCATACTTTTGTGAAGAAAGGGTTTGGCAAAAGTAAGCTGTTTTGACCTTTTATAAGACTAGTTTTTGTTCCCTGAATATATGGAAAAAAAAATTAGCTGAGGTGGGCTGGGCTGGAGCTCAGAGGTGGAGTACTTGCCTAGCATGTGCCAGGTCCTGGGTTCCATCCCTAGAATCACATGCAAAACCATTAGTTGAACATACTGTAAGGCTTGTCTTTCAAATGTATCAAGCATGTTTTAGCTTCTTGGTAAGACTATATTCCTTGAGGAAAGTATCCTATCTTCTTGTAATACTCCCTGCCAAGAGTTGTGCACAAACACAAGTAGCTACAACTGCTGGAGTGTGTTTCAGTCTCTTGATTTTCATTTTTGCTGTCAGCTGCAGGTCTGAGATCAATCATAAGGCTTCCCTTTGTCTCCTTCCTCCCCCATTTGAAAACAGACAAGTATTTATTTTAATGTGCATTTTGAAAACTATAACTAGCATGTCAAACCCCATGATTTATGAACATTAATGATTATGAGGATTCTAAGAAGATACATGAATTAATTTATTCTTGTGTTAATTTCATCCTTAAGTGAATTATTTTATTTTTTGAGATGAGGTCTTGCTATGTTGCCCAGGTTGAACTTATCAATCTCCTGCCTCAGCCTCCTGAGCTGCTTGGGATTATAGAAACACCACCCCCACACTCAGTTTGAAGTTGCAGAAATACTAATAAAATAAAATACTAATAACCTAATAAAAGATTACTCAGTTGTTAGATCTTTGAGGGCCAGAAATACATTTCTTTGCTCATTGTGTTCTCTGAGGTTCAACTCACCACCTTACATACATTTAGTTTTCAATAACTATTTGCTATAATAATTAATGGAATACAACTGCATTTATCATGTTAGAAGCTCTAAGTAAAATGCCTAAACCATAAAGGCACCCAAGCACTTTCTATAGCCCTAGGGTGGAAACTGATCCAGCATCTCAGCTTCTGGGCCTGGCCTAACAGTACATGGCACACTACAGGCACTCCCTTATTGTTGAATGAAGAAACACACATCAGTGTTCTGACCAGAACTGCATTCAGCAATGTTTGGTCTTCAATAATCTTTCAGGAATTAGTGTTTCATATAGCACCAGCCACTTGTATTATTAACCATAACCTACCTGCCACTACAAATATTGACAGTTGTATTATTAGCCATAAACTATTGTTTGAGAGAATAATAAACATTTCTGACATTAATATCCTAAGTGCTCTTTGAAAATTGCCATTGAATTTGTCATCCCATTTGAAATTCACAACAACTCCAGGAAGAAGAAAAGGCACATAGGACTCAATGTTAATACTGGATGTGAAAGGGCTATAAATATCTAAATTATTGCAGATGAAGAAACTAAGGCTCTTAAATAACTAAGATGGCTAAGCTCTATCTGAACCTAGATCTCCCAATATCAATCTCTTGACTTTGACATACTTTGGTTTCTTTTTAAACTTTTTGTCATTCTGAATTCCTCAGGCAACTTTTATGCCAAGATCAGAGTGGTGTGAAAGTTAGACAGAGGTCTTCAGGATAGCAATAGTAGTGAGCATTATTGAGCATTATTGAGTAGCAAACCAGGAATTTTACTGTTAATTCTCAAAGCCATTGGGAACAGAGGTGCTATTATTTAAACTGAACACTGGAGGGTTTTGAGGTTTCAAAAGGTAATTTGTATTTGCTCAAGACCTCACAGCATGAGGGATCCCTCAGCCAAGACTCTAGGGGCTGTTTTCAACTTGGGGCTGAGATCCTTTACTAGGCCTTAAGCCTTATCTTACACATGAGGCACCTGAGACCAGAGAGGTAACTGATTTTATCTTCTCCGGATGTCTCACTGCATTCTGAGGACAGGTCTGAACAAAAAGCCAGACTGTAAGGGAGCTTTCCAAGGGACCTCAAGAAGCCTCTGGTATTTCACGCCAGGCAATTACCAGTCTAGGGACAGAGGGACAGAAGAGGACAAAATCCTTCCTAAGGTCTTAACGACAGGTTTATAGAAAAAGACCCAAGCCTGTGCATTTCTGAACTTTTCCCAGGAGCCAATAACTGTGTGGCTAGGTAAGAAAAAAGGTCCACACTGCCGGCAATTCCAGTAAGTTTGAGAAGTGCCACCAGGTGGGGGAGCTGCGCGACTACCTGTCGCAGACATCTAGCCCCGCCCCGAACTGGAAGGGCACCGGCCCCGCCCCTGGCGGCTGCCCTCAGCTCTCTGGGCCGCCTAGCCCCGCCCCTACGTGAAGGGCACCGGCCCCGCCCCCGAGACTGCCCTCAGCTCTAGACCGTTTAGCCCCGCCCCTCCTCCACTCCATCAGCCGTCTAGCCCCGCCCCTGCCCTCAGCGCTAGGCCGTTTAGCCCCGCCCCTTCTCCCCTCAACGTGTAGTCCCGCCTTTGCCCTGAGCTCTCTCGGCTGCCTAGCCCCGCCCCTGCCCTCAGCTCTCTCGGCTCTCTCGGCCGTCTGGCTCCGCCCTTGCCACCAGCTTTCTCGGCCGCCTAGGTCCGCCCCTGCCCTCAGCTCTAGGCCATCTAGCCCCGCCCCTGCCCTCAGCTCTCTCACGGCCGTCTAGCCCCGCTCCTACCTGGAAGGGCGCCGGCCTCGCCCCCGGGGGCCAGGCGCTCACTGGCAAGTTCTCCAGGCCCCGCGCCACATCCAGCAGTCCTGTCAGGGCCTCAGTCTCTTCCTCGGACGCTGCCATCCCGAAAGGCAGCTTCTTCGCCACAACTTCCGGGAACACTTAGCCGCCTCACGCTGCGCCACCGGCGGTGCCGGGCTGGAGCCCCGCGGAGGATGCCGGGAGCGTGGTTCCCGCGGCCCCACCGCCTCATGGGAGTTGTGGTTTTCCCGCCTCTTCTCTCAGCTTTCGTCCAAGGCTTTGGTCTGGCTCCCCCTTGTTCTGAGCCCAAAGCCTACCCGCTAGTAACCAAACCGTGTGAGGTACGGGCAAAACTTGGGGAGCACGGAAGGACGTGTTGAGTTTCTCCTGAGCGCGGGAGGGGCCTGGCCGGGGCGCGGGCGTGGACGAGGGCTGAGGAGACGGGGTGAGGCGGGAGACCCGCGCGCCGGGTTTGAAGACCCGGGACTGGCTGGGAAGTGGGAAGACGGCAGCTAGTGTTTGCGCCCAGGGGTCCGAATAGACTTTTGGGGTCCCTTGAGGAATTTGTGAGGGTTCCGCTCTCTCTGGTGGGGGTGTCCGCTCCCTGACCGGCGCAGAAAGGTAGCGAAGGACCCGGGGAGCCTCCAAATTTCTGCCTCCAGTGGACTATTTGAAGCCTTAGCTTATCTTTTCTGATATCCTGCTTCTCCTGGACACTTTTTTTTTTTGGGGGGGGGGTACCAGGGATGGAACCCAGAGCCTCTTAACTACTGAGCCACTCCCCCAGCCCTTTTAAATTCATTATTATTATTTTTTTTAATTTCTGTTTTGAGACCGGGTCTTACTAGGTTTCTTAGGACCTCGCTAAATTGCCGAGGCTGCCTTCGAACCTTCAATCCTCCTGCCTCAGCCTCCTGAGTCGCTGGGATGGCAGGTATGCGCCACCTCGCCCAGCTTCTCCTGGAAACCTTCCCTGGCCATTGCTGTAGGACCAGCGATTTGAGTGCGATTGGGTCTTGCTGGCATTATTTATTTATTAGTTTATTTTTTTTTACTTGTATATGGACACAGTGCTTTTATTTATTTGTATGTGGGGCTGAGGATGGAACCCAGTGCCCCACTGGTGCTAGGCAAGCGCTGTACTGCTGAGCTACAACTCCAGTCCCTCTTGCTGGCTTTTTCATCTTAGTTTTGTCAAAAGACACAATTACAGCAGGTTGAAGATCTTTGTGAGTTTTATTTTTATTTTATTTATTTTTTGATCCCAGAATCGGGCCACACTTCATTCCATACAATAGAATAAACATAAGCATTCTGATGCGCTGAGCAGAAGAGATTGTTTTTACAGAGGAGGGCTGGGAAAAGGAAACAATGAGCAAAAACCAATTGGTTATTCAAAGTTACTTTGGCTACAAGAACAATAGAAAAGTAACCAATTAGTTAAATCAGGTTACTTTGTGTGTGTTGTAAAGATTAAGGAAAAGGAAAGTCCTTATAGATATTTGGCTGTTATCTCCCATCCTTGTTTTCTCCAGAAAATGAGATAAGCAGCTTAGTTTCAGCTGAGTGACATGCACCTTTAGGGTGACTGACTCCATTTTATTTTTATCTTTTTACTGGAGATTGAACCTCAGACTCTCTGTACATGCATTGCACCACTGACCTACACCCCCAGCCCTTCTTAGTTTATCCGGAGACAGAGTCTTGTTAAATTACCAAGACTGGTCCTGAACTTGCCATCCTCCTGCTTCAGCCCCCAGGGTAGCTGGCATTACAGAGAGGAGCCACTGCCACTGGCTCCATTTTTATTTATAGTCTAGTCCCTTTTGGCCCAGTGCAGAAGCTTAGTCCAAAACAACTGGACTCCTAAAACTTTTAACAACAGCATCCTTTTATCATTTTCCTGCCTCTCTAAAATGTGGCTGTCACTCAGATTTGGTCATTTTCTCACCGTCCTTGTAAAAACATCTATTCACATACCTTCAAATATAAAGGATTAGGAGGTCAGTCTTCAATCCCCATGTGTTTTTCTCCCAGTTACACATTTCCTCCGAATCAGTGGGCATTCCTACTTTCTCTCCTGTAGGGTCCTCAAGCTCAAAACTACCTGAGTTCTTTCACTTTCTATGCCATTTCTCATAGTCCCTGCAACTCCTTAATATACTCACAGGCAAAGCCCTCTTATTGAACAACAGAGTGGGTAGTGGAGAAAAAATTATTTTGTTTCACCGTAAGCAGTTTCGGTACATATATTTGCTAGTCTTTTGATATTTGGTCATGAGTTTGTATGTGAGTATGTATATGGTTACTGATTAGAATTCAATGGTATGCTTATTCAGGGATCTGGTTTTTATCTTTAATGGGGAAAGAGCTGGGAGTAGCTCAATAGTGGAGCCTAACGTATTCAAGGTCTAATTCCTAGCACTGAAAAAACCAACCCCCCCCCCCCCCAAAAAAAAGTAAAAAGTGAGGCAGGAAGTAAAAGGTAAAGAAGCAATCTGAGGTCACGACCCTCACTGCATCTTTTGTGCTTTTCTCACCCACAGTCACTTCAATAGCATAATATTTTTGGTGACTTGCTTTTTTCCTAAATCTTTTCAGAGTGTTCCAGTTTAGTTTTCCTAAAAGACAGAACTCTTTCACTCACAAGTCATCATTATTTCCTCAGGTAATTGTAATAATGGTTATACCTGACATTAATAGGTTTGGGAGAATACAATAAGATCAGACTCATAAGCCAGATGTGGTGAGACAGGAAGATCGAGAGAGTTCAAAGCCAATCTCAGCAACAGCAATACACTAAGCAAGTCAGTGAGACCCTCTCTCTAAATACAAAATAGGGCTGGGGATGTGGTTCAATCCTGGGTACCAAAAAAGGTCAGACTTCTAGGGATGGGGTTGTAGTCAGTGGTGGAGCACTCTCCTAGCACATGTGAGGCACTGGGTTTGATCGTTAGCACCACATTTAAAAAATAAATAAAATAAAGGTATTGTGTGCATCTGCAACTAAAAAAAAATGATCAGGCTTATAAAGATGGGTACCTATGGGCAGGTAATACAGTCACTTAATTTTGCACTGAAGTTCACATCTGAATAAAAACTCCTTTTTTTTTTTTAAGAGTAAATGTAGAGAGGAAGATGGGGAGTCAATCCTATAAGAAAAGAACCAGAGTGTAATGATGAGGATCACAGGATCTGGACTCGGACATGCCTAACTCCATAGTCTACTACTTTGTCAGTTTCTGATCATGGATAACAGCTAAAATTTATTGAGTTATTATTATGTGCTACAGACTGTTTAAGAATGTTATACACATACTAGCCCACCTAATTACCTTAGTGTCCTTGAAACACCTACCATATAGTCATTTTAGAGTCAACTAAATGTTCAGACTAGCAGGACTATCATTGGCCATGTTTGGCATTAGGTTACTCTAAGTTTATAGGGCAGGAGCTACATCCTAGCAGCAGAGAGGCCTCAGATGTCCCTTTTCTGTGAGAATACTGCTTGCAACTATCCACACAGTAGATCACAGAGCTACCTGAGGGCTTTTTTCTTTATCCTTTTAGCAGGTGGTTCAATTGCAAGGAGAAAAGATCCTCATTAATGGGATCTGAGCATGAGAGAACTCTGACTGAGAAGCCTGACTGTAAAGGAGGCACAGATTTCAGGTGTCACCTAGTAATTATTTTATCAGACAGAGTTGTGCAATTGCTTTTCATTGAAAGGGGAGATGGTCACTTACAGAATACAATTTTCTGCTTTAGAGTCAGAGAGAGGTTTTGGTAAAGTGTTATGGAACCTCAGAAATGGTAAATATTCTAACTTGGGAGATCCGTGAAAGCTTCACGGGGAAGAGGCTATTTGTCATAGGCTTGAAGGCTGGTTAGGATTTGGGTCAGTTAGGAAAGGACATTCCAGGTCGAAGGAACTGCAGGAGCAAAGGAATGAAGAGAGAAGTGTGGAAAGAGGAACTTCTGATTGACTGAAGATACTGTTCATTTCATTTTTCAGGAATTATGAACCACAGAGAATGTTGCATATATTCAAAGAAGATGCTGTTGTTTCATTTTAGGAAAAGCTTCTGCACACTGATTATATGCACAGTGCTGTTTACCAGTTTGGGGAATACACACATGAAAAAGACATGGGGAATTAGGAAAGCCTGCAATCTAACAAATAACTACATACATATAGAAAGTATTAAGGACAGTAAGAACATTATAGAAAGAACTATAGGAACAGTGAGGAGAACCTCACTCTGGTATTTGTAGTCCATTATGCTGCTTTTATTTTTTATTTTTTGTCTCTTTTCTTGGTAATACAGTCTGCTGTTTGGAAAAATATTTAGAAGGATCCATTTTATTTTATTTTTTATGAAGCTGTCAGTGATGGTGCTATCACAATAAGATATTCAGTTCATGTTGGTCCTTCAGTTTAATTTGTTTTTATCTTGCTGGTGAAGAATCCAAACGTATTTTATAGAGTGTGAGATTAAAATAATGAGAGGCTGTTTGCAGGCTGATATAACCAATCTTCGGAATGCCATGCAGAATGTCTTTCATCTTTTCCAGGTCTAAAAACCTATCTTGTTTTCTCTGGACACCTGCTCTTTACTGACCTGAAGCCTTGATCATCAGAATTTGTTCTGAAAACCATTAGAGCTGGATGGTGAAAAACCTGTATCCCTCTACATTAATCAGTTTTCCAAATTGATTCTATAAATGGGCCTTGGACTTGAATATCACATCGGCTATCCAAATTGCTTTTCACTGGCAGAACAGAAACTAATCTGCTCAGTAATAGAGAAAAATAAATAAATAAAAAGAAAGCAATGCAATATAGTAAAACTAACCTCTTATAGGTCAAATTATCTTTGAGGAATTATCTAGATTATGGGATGTAACTGTCTGACCTGTTGTTATTTTTTTCAACAAAAGTAGCCTTTGAGATGTTTTAGCCATTGCTTTTTAGAGGGCAGGGCACGGGCTTTTATGAAGTTCTGCAGAACTATATTCAGAAGCCATTCTTTCATCAAAATGTCATAAGAATTATCTGAAGTTAATCTTCTGGAATATGCTGTATGGCTAGTAATAAAAGGACTAAAGTTAGCAGAAGTTATATATCAGTGTCGATGACAGCAGGAATAGTATAGTGTGGAACATCAGCTTTCCAATAGGAACTAGTATAACTACATATTAAGTGGGCATAGATAGGCACTGCATCCTTTTATCAAATAAAATTGTGTAAATGAAATCATTAGGAATAGAACAATGCAAAATAGATGATACTTTGGGGGATTTCTCTCCAACTTTGTGCCTATTTCCCTATGAGAATGTG